GGGGACATTTAAATAAGGTCTGTGGACTATTGAACAGCATTATATATCAGGGTTAATTTCCTGGGTCTGATCATTGTACTATGATTATTACATAAGATATTGACATTAGAGGATGGTGAATGAAAGGTATGTGGGAACTCTCTATACTATGTCTGCAAATTTTCTGTTGAAAATTTTCATCATATGTCTAGAATTATGTCAAAATTTAAAAAGTATAAGCCGGGCTCGGTGGCTCAGCCTGTAATCTCATGCCTTTGGGAGGCTGAGGTGAGTGGATTGCCTGAGCTCGCAGGTTCGAGACCCACCTGGGCAACTTGGCGAGACCTCATCTCTACAATAAATCAAAAATTAGCTGGGCATGGTAGCGCGTGCCTATAGTTCTAGCTACTCGGAAGGCTGAGGCGGAAGAACTGCCGGAGCCCAGCAGGTCGAGGCTGCGGTGGCCAGGAGCGGCCACTGCACTCCAGTCTGGGCGACAGAGTGAGACTCCAACTCAAAAAATAAAAAATAAAAAATAAAAAGTATAAATCCTTAATCTTAAAAAAATAAACCTCAGATCCAATGTGTCCCTGATAGGTTTGGTTGACCTAATGGTATAAATATAAACATACGGCCGGAGTCGGTGGCTCAGCCTGTAATCCCAGCACTTTGGGAGGCCGAGGTGAGTGGATTGCCTGAGCCCGCAGGCTCGAGATCCGCCTGGGCAACTTGACAAGACCTCATCTCTACAATCAATCAAAAAATTAGCCGGGTGTGGTAGCGCACGCCTGTAGTTCCAGCTACTTGGAAGGCTGAGGCGGAAGGATCGCTGGAACCCAGCAGGCGAGGCTGTGGTGGCCAGGAGCGGACCTTGCACTCCAGTCTGGATGACAGAGTGAAACTCCAACTCAAAAACAAAACAAAACAAAAAACACACATACAACATTTAGGAAGCCACTATGAAACTAAGACAATAGCTGAAATTGTAACTGAAAATTCACATAGACAGCGGCCAAAGACTTAAGGTTTCAAGAGCACTTGTCCTGAGAGCTGAGGTGACAAGATCAAGGGTTAGAATATACAGGGAAAACTCAGATCCCTAGTCTAATTTCACATCCACTGCAAGAGACCCCTCGACCAAAAATGTTCCTCAAAAAATGCTCCTTTAGTCTTTACTTGAATGACTCTGGTAATGGTAACTTCACTGCTCTACTCTTTTGGATAATTTTTAGCTTGTGAGCCCAAGTGTTGTTGATAGCAGGGAGAAATTGGAAATAATACAAAGTATAGGGCCAAGAAATCCTAGCTATCATGATGATATGGCCATGGAAAGTGATAAGAATGTGGTCTATCTTAATGCATGGAAATGTGTACATGAATTAATCCAAAGTGACAAGAACTAAACACAAGTTGCATTTACACACTAATCACTTAACATATCAGTGAGTACAATAAGAGCTGGAAGATAATTTGGAAGGGTGCCTTTTTTTTTTTAAGTGATATATATAGAATTTTAAATGAAATTTAGTATGCAGATTTTTTAAAAATACCATCCATTAAAGGACATGTCATGATTGATTGAGAATGGCTGCATGGAGCATTTGATTGAGAATGGCTGCATGGAGCATTTATTCTAAGGCTTTGTCTGAGCTCTGTGGGGAAGAGTGACATTATTGATTAGTGATGTCTGCCAACAGTGAAGAATGAGCAGTGGCAGTATGTGTGCTATGTAGTTGCCACTTCTAGAGACACTCCCAGCTCCTGGAACCTCCTGAAAATGAGTTTATGCTACTTGAGGGACCATGTGCAGGCAGAAACCTCTTCTTTGAGTTATAAACTGTGGGATTTTGGACAAGTCACTGGAATATAAGATGCTATGAAATAAATACCATAAGGGGAATAAAATCAAAATTGTCTACAATAAGGGTGTTTGAGACTAAATGGGCAAAATAGGGAAGACTTTGTGGCATTTGTACTGGGTCTTGAAGGATGATGAGGTTTTGCAAGTAGATATGCTTGGGAAGGGCATTTCAGATGAAGAGTATAGTATGTAAAAGCCATGGAAGTTGGAAAATAACAGGCATCTTCTGGAGAAAGCAAGGAGCATGTATAAGTTAGTTGTAGAAGATAAGCTTGGAAATGTAGGAAGAGATCAGATAGAGAATGTCCTGAATGCCAGGGTGACAAGTTTGAATTTTATTTAGCTAGCCATGGGGGCTTCTGATGAGTTTTTGTTTATTTGTTTGTTTATTTTTCTGAGTCAGAGTCTCACTCTGTTGTCCAGGCTGGAGTGCAATGGCACGATCATGGCCACTACAGCCTCGACCTGCTATGCTCAGGCAGTCCTTCTGCCTCAACCTTCCAAGTAGCTAAAACTACAGGCGCGTACCACTATTAGTCAGGCTAACTTTTTGGTTTATTGTAGAGACAGTTCTCGCTATATTGCCCAGGATGGTCTCAAATTCCTGGGCTCAGGCAATCTTCTCACCTCGGCCTTTCAAAGTGCTAGGATTACAGGTGTGAGCCACCACACCCAGCTTCTGATAAGTTTTGAGGCAGGTAATGCTTAGAGGAAACAAGACTAGAAGGTGATCAGAAAAAAAAGCCTTCTTTCTGGGAGACCACTACCATGAGGGAATCTCAGGCCCTGAGTTTTGACAAGATGCCTGTGGGGGTGGAAATCTGAGCACTGGGATAGTGAGATGTGAGGGATATAACTAAGCCCCACCGAGAACAATCCTACAGGCTCCATCTACTGTCAGGGTCTCCTGTGAAAGCCTCAGTTTCTGCTCTCTGGGAGCTTCTAGTCTATGGAGAGAAGGAATATACCCCCAGGAAACAACGGAGACCAATCCTAGACAGTGTAAGATCCCTGTAGGGTGTGTGGGGTAGAAACCAGCTAGGTGTGCAGCATTTAGGGATTGAAGATGAACTTGGTGAGAACCAGCAGGTCAGCCATCTCAGGGTTTCTGTGCTGTGCTGAAGGTGGCCCCAGATGGTTTCTCAGGTGTCCTCAGGCCCTTCAGTTCCCTGGCTTTAGGAAGAGAAGCCTTGAGGGAGGGCAGAATTTGACACGTAGAAAGGAGAAAAGTGGGTTTCTAGATATGGTGGCGGGGGGAGGCAAACCAGGGGCAGGAGAGGACTTGGGACACCTGGGACCCCAAGGAAACTGAGCTGTCAGAAGATCCAGTTGGGTAGACACGGGCTATGGACTCTTAGGGTCTGGCAGCCAAAAAAGGGAAACCCTGGCGTGATGCTGTTTGTTGGGGATGCTCAGAAGGGATATGGTGTGACTGGCATGTGAGGAAGGTTACCTGGCAGCCATCAGACTCCCAGAGCCCTACCAGAAAAAGAAAGGGTCCCTGGAGACCCATGTTGGGGCGTCTGCTAGGCTTCACATGGCTTAGGATCCCCCACGGATTCTGCTATATTCCCAGGATTTGACAAGATGCCAAGAATCTTCTGCCTACTTATCCAAATCTGGGGTCCTTACTATCCACCCCAGTGCCAATGGACCTCTGGGGACTGCAGGGAGCAGTGGGAACTGCTTGACCTGGAGACACAATCAGGCCTGCAGGCTTGTAGCCCTCTCTCCCCTCCCCCAACATTGGGCCTCAGGAAACGCCACAGCTCTGGCAGTGGCCAGAGTGGAAAATCCCCCACTGGCTGGGTGATATCAGTGTTTGGCAGGTCTGGTCCTGGCCCTCTGCCTGGGGACCGAGGACCTGACAAATCTGCTCGGAGCCCTGAGTGCGGGGTACGAGGTGACAGGGAGGGTGTTGGCGAGGGGACTTTTTCCCCTCACCCCGAAATGGAGAGCTTTCCTGGGCCAGGCAAGCAGGCACTGGGCCAGCTCCAGGTCACTTCAGGCAACGGCAAGCTTGGAGCTGGGAAGTGGGATGGGGGCGTTGGGGGGGGTGAGGGATAGAAGAACAGGATAAATCAGACCTGGGGGCCAGGCAAGGACTTGGGAGAGGTTAATGGGGTCAGAGCATTTTAGGAGAACAAAAAATGGGGGCAGAGGCGCAGTGGGGCAGAAGGAGAGACAACAAAAGACAGAAGCAGCAGGCAGGCATGTGCCCTCTTCACATGCCCCTGCTCCAGGCCTCTGGACCAGATGAGGATGAGAGCACAAACAGAAGCTGGTGCAGTTGACCCTGTGTGCTGAGCACCTGCCGAAATATAATGAGAATTTCTGCAAATGTCTTGTTCAACCTTGAAAGCCTCTACAACCCCCTCAAGTAGCTCTGACTTCAGCTATTGTCATCCCAGCCCTGCCACTGGGATCAGCGCTACCAACAACACTGATATTAGCACCATCAGCACCACGTTCACTTCTACCACTGTCATACCACCACGCTAGCTACTGAGCCCCAGCCCTCCAGACACCCCTGACTCGATCCCCCAGGAATTTGAGGGTGCTGGGAATCAGGACTTGAGTCAGACCTCCCAGCACATTGCCTACAGACCAGCAGTGCTCCACGATTTTGTCCTGCCAGGGGACCCTCAGCCATGCTTGGAGACAATTTTGGCTGTCACAACCGGGGGACTGCTCCTGGCATCGAGTAGGTAGAGGTCAGGGATGCAAGAAACATCTACAGTGCACAGATCGGAGCTCACACAAAGAATTGTTTGTTCCAAAATGTCAATAACGCTGAGGTTGAGAAACCCTGCTTATGGATCCCGCGCCTCACCCTCTGGCTCTACCTTTTTCTGGCCTTCATCCCAAAATGCCTACATGGTGCCTCTTATCTCTGGACAAGAAGGGGTCTCTGCCACCCCATCTTAAAGCAACTTTGTTCTCTCTTATCACCTGTGCCGCCTGGCCTCTACTGCTTGAATTAAAAAGTCAATAAGATGAAAAGTCTGTTGCAGCCACTCTCAAGAGGGAAAAACACACAGAAACAACTGATACATGAAGTACAGGTCACACCTCGGATTGGGGTCATGCTTGCTCAGGGCAGGGAGGCAGGGACTGGGGTAGATCCCAGGGGGTATAAAAGAGGAAGGCATGTTCAGGTCTTCACTCCACTGCGACTGCAGAACTCAGAGTGGCTTTTCCTCTGTGGCCAGTTAGAAAACCAGCATCATGAAGTGGATGGTGGTGTTCTTGTTGTGCCTCCAGCTCCTGGAGGCGCAAGTGGTCAAGTGAGTCTGGGGCCTGGCAGCTTGTGTGGGGAATCTGGGAGGAAGCCTGAAGCCTGGCAGGGGGCAGCCTGACCAGGGGCAGCCTGGCCAAGGGATCCCCGCCTGCCTCTACTCTGGGACTTCTGCTAGGGGCAGGGAAAGCTCCTTTTGCTGGTGTCGGATAGGACTCAGGGATAGAAGGAGACAAAACTCTTGCCTTCAAGAGACTTCCCATCAAAGGGAAAAGCACAGTCCCTTCCCCACGTGATGAGAACAAGATGGACCTGAAACGGAGAGTAGGGGTGAAAATTGTCCAAAGGGTCCCTGAATGGCAGGTATGGTTTCTTTCTGGATAAGGGGTAAAATAATCCTTTCTAAAAATTTTCATCAGGCCTAAATGTTACTGACAGATGCCCAGATCATCTAAGCAGAAACACCAGTAAATGTAAATCTCTATACCCTGAGGAATAGATGGCAGGGGTCACAGGCCACCAGAAGGCTCAAAGCCCACCCACCTGCTACCCTGCCTGCTATTCCCCCAGTAAAAGACTTCCTTAGGTAGAGAGCTGGCTCTTCTCAGAAACTTTTTTAACTATGCAAATTCTGTAGATATAGTTGACAGGAATCTCTCTCGGTCTTCACAGCTCAGCATGAAGGGGATTAGCAGAGAATTTCTGAAGAATGTGGGGTCTTGAGGAAATGGGAATCAAGATGTGGAAGGAAGTGCAAGAAGCAGGAATGCTGGAGCCTGGAGCAAGGCCTGGGTGGACCCCCAGGCAGTGGCAGCCAGCCGATCTGGGAGGAAGAGAGCCTGCTCCAGAGCTGACCTGGGCTCCAGACCACCCAGGCTGACTTCTCTACAGCCCTGGAACCCTGAGAAGAGCAGTGATGGGTCCCGGGCTGTACACTTAGCAACAGGGCCAAATGAGGACCTTGTCTCCTCAGTCCCTGCTAATGATGGTCCCCTTGCTCTATGCTGTCTGTCATCTCGGCTGGAGTCAGTGCCTCAGAGCCACCATAGGAGGGACTCTGGAATGGACTCTTTATCCCTGAAATTTATTTATTTTTATTTAGTTGAGTCAGGGTCTCACTCTGTCAACCAGCCTGGAATGCAGGGGCGCAATTACTGTTTACTGCAGCCTTGACCTCCTGGGCTCAGGTGATCCTTCTGCCTCAGCCTTTGGAGTAGCTGAGACTACAGGCATGCCACTATGGCTGACTAATTTTTTTTTTTTTTTTTTTTAGAGACAAGGTCTCACTATGTTGCCCAGGCTGGTCTCAAGCTCCTTGGTTCTAGCAACCCTCTCTCCTTGGCCTCCCAAAGTGCTAGGATTACAGGCATGAGCCACTGTCCCCAGCCTGAAACTGAATTTCATTTAAAAAATGCACACATCCTGAAAGCCGTAATACCTGAAATGCCTCTCCCCTTCCTGGGAAGGAATTTTTGGGATATCTGAGAGTGGAGAGCTAGAGTGGTAGGAGGGCCCTTGAGATGGGGAGAGGGCATGCATGGGTGAGGTTAATGGCTTTCTGAGCCTTGTAGCAAGTGCTGAGAAGAGTTTTGAAAGAAAGAGAAGTGGAGAAGAAGAAAGAGAGGCAGAGGAGGGAGAAACAGACAGAGAGAGACACACAGAGAAACAGAGACATAGAGAAACAGACTGAGACAGAGACAGGGAGAGACGGAGGAAGAGAGACACACAAGCAACAGACACAAGGGAATAGAGTGGCAGAAAGACTGAGGCGCACAGTTAGAAATGGGGAGAGAGAGAGAGGCGCACAGTCAGAGACCGGGAAAAGAGAAGGGAGGCAGAGTCCTGCCCTGACACACTGCCCTTCTGCAGAGTCTCCCTGAAGAAATTTAAGTCTATCCGTGAGACCCTGAAGGAGAAGGGCTTACTGGAGGATTTCCTGAAGACGCACAAGTATGACCCTGCTCAGAAGTACCGCTTCAGTGACTTCAGTGTGGCCGTAGAGCCCATGGCCTACATGGATGTGAGTCCCGACCCTGCCCGGGATAGCCCTTTCTCTGCTGCTGAAGGCTGAGGGCTAGCTGGGCGGTGGGCTGCAACCCTTCCTTTTGTTTCTGTGGCCCACTCCCTTTTATCAGAGCAGAGGAGTCCACAGAGACCTTTGTGGCTGCCCCGGGCAGGCATGGATTGAGGGTCTGCAGACTCTGGGCAGGGGTGGAGGGAAGACTCGGGTCCCTGCTTCCGGTGCGGGCTGGAGGGCAAGGGCTGGTCTCCTTGCTGCCCTGCCCATGGAGAAGCCTGGCCCCTGCGTCCCTTTGGAGCTGACAACCTGCCAATGGCTCCCCAGGCTGCCTACTTTGGTGAGATCAGCATCGGGACTCCACCCCAAAACTTCCTGGTCCTTTTTGACACCGGCTCATCCAACTTGTGGGTGCCCTCCATCTACTGCCAGAGCCAGGCCTGCAGTGAGTGCTGGGCTGGGCAGGGAGGGTGGTGGGCAGGGCACTGACGCCCTCTGGGGAGGGCCATGCTTCAAGAGTGATTGCTGGGAGGAACTCAGTCCCGGAGAGGACAAGGGACTTGTGCAGGGACACACAGCATGCCCAAGGCAGAGGGAAGGGGCTGGCCCTGCAGCTGGGTGGCCCCTCAGCCTTCCCAGCTGACCAGTACATCTCCCTCATTTATGCCAGCCCACCTCACCTCACACGCTTTCATTCCACTCAATCCCATTCTGTTCACTCTGGGCAATGCTATTCCATTTCAGGTGAGTAATTTCTACCCATTCCATCTCACTCAATTCTACGGCATTCTATTCCGTTCCACTCCACTATGTATTAACTTCTCACAAAGTGTCTCCAAGAGACATGACAGAACAAGGTAGGATCTGGTTCCCATACAACTGTGATTTGGGGAGACAGACAGTGTCTCCCAACCTTGCTTTTTTTATTTGCGTCAGAGTCTCACTCTGTCACCCAGGCTGGAGTGCAGTAGCACGCTCACAGCCACTGCAGGTTCGACCTTCTGAGTTCAGGCGATCCTTCCACCTCAGCCTTCCAAGTAGCTGGAACTATAGGCGTGCGCCAACATACCTAGCTAATTTTTTGATTTATTGTAGAGACCAGGTTTCTCCAAGTTGCCCAGGCTGGTTTCGAACCCCTAGGCTCAGGCAATACTCTCGCCTCTGCCTCCCAAAGTACTGGGATTATAGGAGTGAGCCACGGCACATGGCCCAACCTTTCTTAAGGCTGCCCAGGTCCCTGCCAAAGTCTTGGGATTTGGGTTTGGTGGCCCCACCCTATGCTTTCTTAGGGTCCTAGCTTCTTGATGAGGTGAAAGTGGGGGGAGGGGGAACTCAGGGACGCCCTGGAGGTTTGGCTGAAGGCTGGGATGCCCTGGAGATCCATTCACTTTTTCATCTGGTGAGAAATTACTCAGCACAGGTGATCTGGAAGGGGCCAGGAAGACAGAGATGGATTCTCTGCAATGCTGCCTACAGCGAGGCCACAGTCCTGGGCAACTCAAGAGTCTATAAATCCGAGGGGACTTTGGGACCAAGGCTGGCCGGTTCCCATGGGCCTTCCAACGTCAGGCGCCGCAGCTGGCCATCCCCTGACTTGAGACCAGGGGTGCTGAAGCCCCAGGATGTGAGGCCAAGGTTGGGACCTGTAGCCCGGCCATCGCCAGCCTGACTCCCCGTCCCGCCCCCCCCGCAGCCAGCCACTCCCGCTTCAACCCCACCCAGTCCTCCACCTATTCCACCAATGGGCAGACCTTCTCCCTGCAGTACGGCAGCGGCAGCCTCACCGGCCTCTTCGGCTACGACACTCTGACTGTGAGTGGGTACAGGGAATGGAGACGAGAGCTGCAAGCTGTGAGCCAAGGGGCTGCTTAGATGAGCCACTGAAACAGCATGAAATGCTGGTGCTCTGGTGTGCAGGACAGGAAGGATGGACAGGAGGGGATAGTTCAGTCATTCCACAAACCTCCTGATAGCCACCATACGCCAAGGCACCCTACTGAATGAGACGAACATGGTCCTTTTCCTTAAGGAACTTCAAGCCTGAGGAGTTCAGAGAAGAGGGTGGGATGGGTGGACAGCCTTCCCTGTCCCAGCAGTCTGGGAAGGCTGTTAGGAAGAGGTGGCTTCTGCAAAAACCAGTCAAAAAGGTGAAGGGACAGAGCTGAGGAAGAGCTAAAGACAGAATCTCGAGGGGCCCTTGTGGTGGGGGAGGCTGGGAGAGGTGGGTGGAATCAGACTTGTCACCGGCCCTGCTTTGTGTCCCTGCCCCCAGGTCCAGAGCATCCAGGTCCCCAACCAGGAGTTTGGCCTGAGTGAAACTGAGCCCGGTACCAATTTCGTCTACGCGCAGTTTGATGGCATCATGGGCATGGCCTATCCCTCCCTGTCCATGGGCGGGGCCACCACCGCCATGCAGGGCATGCTGCAGGAAGGCGCCCTCACCAGCCCTGTCTTCAGCTTCTACCTCAGCAAGTAAGGAGCCACCTGGCAGGTCCCCGCCTCCCAGTCTGCTCCCCCTGCAGCCCAGGACAACAGAGGCTCCATGCTTTGGGGTTTGGGAGCATCCCAGGGGGGCATTGGCTCCAGCCATTCCTGTTCCAAGGCCTTCACTCATGGACTTCTGAATTCTCCCCCACCATGCCCCTGTGTCTATCTCCAGCCCACTCCGGCTCTCCTGTGCATTCCTTGGCCAGGACAGACTCTCTCCTGCTTCTGGCCAAACTTCCGCCCAACTTTGCTCTGAGTGTGGCTGCTCTGATTCTCAGCCCCAGTTAGCTCGCCTCCTGACCAAATGTTTTCTACCTGTATACCTCTTTTGTAGAGTAATCTATTGCTTCATCGCCTTGGATCTATTGTTCAAGCCTGGCCTGCAGTCTTCTGGTCTAAGTCCACTATGACTCCTAGCGAGTTGTTATCCTTACCAGTAACACAAGTACATTTAGTGACCCAGGTGGTCGGTGGGAGTGAGCGGCCTGAGACTGATTTTTCTTTGTTCCTCTTCAGAATTAGCCAACCACCTCCTAAAGACAGTTAGCTTAAACACTTGAATCTGCCTTTCAACCATATCATTCCATTGCCCATGTTGCTAACTTATTTCCTGCCTGTGTTTATAACTACTCTGCATGTAAGCTTTAGGACTTACACTCTAGTTACCAGGGGAACCCTCTAGAACAAACACGGAATGTTCTTTCCTTCCCTTTCACCAAGGCCCTCCCTCTCTCCAATCTCAGCAGAAAAGTAACAACTTAGGCCTGGGTGGGCCCAGCTCCTGGTGACAAGTGCCACTGGTGACATGAAGTGGAAAGCGGAGGACAATGAAGTGTGGGGTGGGGTGAGGGTCTCCAAAACTCGGGGCTTCTCCAGAGAAAGGCTTCATTTGGGAGCCTGAAGCTCTGGGAATTCTGAGAGGCCCAGCCAGAGAACCCAAGTCAAAGGAGAAGACACATCTCTCTCCTCAGGGAGCCCCCGTTTGATGGAGGAACACAGCTCTGACCTCTGGGAGCCCTGATATGAAGGAGAAACAGCCCTGTCCTCAAGGAGTCCCAGTCTGTGGGGAGACACAGACCTGACCTCAGGGAGCCCCAGTCTGGAGCCATGGAGCGAGCTCTGTTTCCCTCTGATGGTGACTGCTGGGCAGGGAAGTCCTTTTCCATGGCACTTTCTGACTTACCTTCATTTTGTCTCCACAGTCAGCAAGGCACCAGCGGGGGAGTGCTTGTCTTGGGGGGTGTGGACACAAGCCTGTACACGGGTCAGATCTACTGGGCCCCTGTCACCCAGGAGCTCTACTGGCAGATTGGCATTGAGGAGTAAGTCTGGGATGGAGCCCTGGGGATGTGACATTGCCTTGGAGTGGGCTTTGAGGAACCCCATGTCACATACACAACTTGGCATTGCTCAGGGTGGGGCTGAGGACTCCTGAGGCTTGCCCCCACAAACCCACAGCTGCACTCGCAGGAGTGTCACTGCCCAGCACAGCCTGGAAAAGAGGAGTGGGGTGGGGACAGCATAGGGAGGGGCAGGACTTGAAATACCAAACATAGAGACCCTGTAGTCCAACCCCATGGGCTTACAGGTTAGAAATGGAGGTGTGCATAGTGACTAATGTGCTCAAGGCACTGGCTTTCAGTATTTTCAGAAACTTCCTTGAAACTTTTAAGGAACAGATCTCTTGGCGTGACACAGGGGAATAGCTGGATTGACCTCTGCAGGGTTCTCACATTCCTCTAATATACCTTGACTCTGTGGCTGCAGCTGTTTGTTCCTCAACGGTAGGGAAAGCCCTCCAGTGGCTGCCCTGAACTGGTGAGGTGCTAAGACTGCCCATCTTCTCACCACCCAGGTTCCTCGTTGGCGGCCAGGCCTCTGGCTGGTGCTCCCAGGGCTGCCAAGCCATTGTGGACACGGGCACCTCTCTGCTCACTGTGCCCCAGCAGTACATGAGTGCTCTTCTGCAGGCCACAGGGGCCCAGGAGGACCAGTATGGACAGGTACATCTGGTGAAGGTGTCGCCTTCCCTGGCAGAGGCCAGCCAGAGCCATCATGGGATCACAAGAATCGCCTGACTCTTGGCCTCCGTGCCTCTAGCTGCCCAAGGCACTGGAGGTGGAGGATCTGGAAGCACCTGGGCTGGGGAAAGGAGGGAGACTGGGGAAGCAGGGAGACTTGGAGGCTGGTTCAGGTAGGGCCAGATGCTTGTGCCAAAGGGGCATGGGATATACTATTAGACAAGAGTTTTTTGGAGCTGTAGTCACTCAGACAAAACAGATTAAATGCTTGTTGGGCTTTGGGGTAGGAGCAAAATGACTGGAATATGGGGGTAAGTAAGTGAGTGACAAGGCCAGCCCTTTAGTCCACACTTCCTCTTCCTCCATAGAGCCATGCACCCCTGCCCTTCTCTGTCCTGAGCCCTGCAGAGGGATGCTTAATTAACCCAGCCCCATGAACTTTGGGGGGAACCAATGGGGTACACTTTCTGCAGATCTATTTTTTTTAATTCTTTTTTTTGAGTCGAGGTCTCACTCTGTCACCCAGACTAGAGTGCAGAGGCATGATCATGGCTCACTGCAGCCTCGAACTCCTGGGCTCAAGCAACCCTCCCTCCTCAGCCTCCTGAGTAACTGGAACTTTGGGGGCACACCACCATGCCTGGCTAATTTTTTAACAATTTTTTTGTGTGGAGATGAGCTCTTGCTATGTTGCCCAGGCTGGTCTCAAATTCCTAGGCTCAAGTGATCCTCCTGCCTTGGTCTCCCAAAGTGCTGGGATTACAGGCGTGAGCCATCACCCCCAGCCTGATCTATGTGTTTTATTTATTTTTATTTATTTATTTTTTATTTTTTTGAGTTGGAGTCTCACTCTGTCGCCCAGACTGGAGTGCAGTGGCTGCTCCCGGCCACCGCAGCCTCGACCTGCTGGGCTCCGGCGATCCTTCCGCCTCAGCCTTCCGAGTAGCCAGAATTACAGGTGCACGCTGCCACACCCGGCTGATATTTGTTTGTTTTTGTTTTAGTTTTTTTTGAGCTGGAGTCTCACTCTGTCACCCAGACTGGAGTGCAGTGGCCGTTCCCGGCCACCGCAGCCTCCACCTGCTGGGCTCTGGCAATCCTTCCGCCTCAGCCTTCCAAGTAGCTGGAACTACAGGCGCGCACTACCACGCCCAGCTAATTTTTTGATTTATTGTAGAGATGAGGTGTTGCTGCCCAGGCGGGTCTCGAACCTGCGGGCTCAGGCAATCCATTCACCTCAGCCTCCCAAAGGCGCAGGATTACAGGCTGAGCCACTGAGCCCGGCTTCCGGCTGATATTTTGATTTATTGTTGAGATGAGGTCTCGCTGCCCAGGTGGGGTCTCGAACCCGCAAGCTCAGGCAATCCACTCACCTCAGCCTGTGTTTTATTTTTATTTTGAGTTGGAGTCTCACTCTGTCACCTAGACTGGAGTGCAGTGGCACGCTCCCGGCCACCACAGCCTCGACCTGCTGGGCTCTGGAGATCCTTCTGCCTCAGCCTTCCAAGTAGCCGGAACTACAGGCGTGCGCTACAATGCCCGGCTAATTTTTTTAAAAAATTTATTGTAGAGAAAAGGTCTTGCTAAGTTGCCCGGGTAGGTCTCAAACCCGCGGGCTCAGGCAATCCACTCTCCTCGGTCTCCCAAAGTGCTGGGATTACAGACTGAGCCACAAGTCTGGCCGATCTTTGTGTTTTAAAAGGATGCTTTCAGAGACAGGAAAGAGATTCAGTCTCTCACAGGGGAAACTCAGGCAAGAGGAGTGTTTTTGGGGAGGTGGAGATTCTCAGGTCTCCCCTTACTCCACCCACTGTATGAGTCCATATGACTAATGCTGGCAGTATCTACACAAGACGTTCCCCGGATGCTGCATCTACTAGTCCACAGGGAATCCAGGGGCAGAGGGGATGGGGCTGGTGGGTATCCCAGGTGGGAATTGAGGCATCATGTTCCTCTTTGCAGTTTGTTGTGAGCTGTGACAGCATCCAGAGCCTGCCCACCTTCACCTTCATTATCAATGGCGTGCAGTTCCCTCTGCCACCCTCCTCCTACATCCTCAATGTAAGTCCTGGTTCCTGCAGGCTGAGCCCTCGTGACCAGGGGTGGGAATGCAGACCCCTTTACCTGTGCTGTTTTCCCACTTTTTGCATTACTAGTTTATCTTTCCTATTCACTGATTCTAAACCCCCTTCTCTGGAACAAGGCTGTGATTAACTAGGGGGAGAGGCCCCAGGCTCTTTGGTGAACACTCACTAGGGCCAGCCACTGTTCATTGTCACAACATTTGACGAGGGAGACACTAGTTTCTGTTTTACAAATGAAGACTTGGAGGTCCAGGGAGGTTAAGTAACTGACTCAAGGCTACACAGCTAGTCAGTGTGAAGCTAAGGTTTGAAACTGGGTGGTCTAGCTCCAAGGCTTAACCACCAGGCTGATATGCTCCAAGTCAGAAGCAGGAGGGAGGCCTGTGGGAAGAAGAGTTTCCCACCATGGGGAGAGGAGACCCTGCGGAGGACCTCCTAGCTTGAATTGACCTGTTCCAGAAATCCTCCTGCCAGCTCCTGCTTTGGTGGCTCAGCTGGCCTAGGAGCCCTCATCTCTGTGTTTGTGCCCCTGACCTGGGGCTCAGGGCTGAGCAGTTCCCAGCTCACATGTGAACACGTGAGTGAGTGCTGCTTTTGTGTGTTGAACAGAACAACGGCTACTGCACCGTGGGAGTCGAGGCCACCTACCTGCCCTCCCAGAACGGCCAGCCCCTGTGGATCCTCGGAGATGTCTTCCTCAGGTCCTACTACTCCGTCTACGACTTGGGCAACAACAGGGTTGGCTTTGCCACTGCAGCCTAGACTTGCTGCCTGGACACCTGGGCTCCCTCCTTCTCAGCCCCACACCCTGCTGGGGGGTTCTCTCTGTCCTTCCACTCTGGATTCAGCCTTCCTTTTCTGGACTTTCTCTGATAATAAATAGTTCTCCTCTATGTTGACCAGTCTGTTGTTTTTGAAGGAGAGTTGTGGCCTGTAAGGTGTTCCCAGTCTCAAGGGATTGGGAAAGTGAGAGTCAGGCAAATTCGACTGAGATGACTGTGTTCTCCTCTAGTGGCCAGGAGGTCTTCCTGGTGGGTTACTGGAATTCTAAGAGAAATAGGCCTAAGGCACTACTTGGGGATGAGCTCTATACCTATCGGAGCTTAGAGTCCCCTGGAGAGGGAAGACAGTACTAGTGGCATCACGGAGGAAGGGTGTGGGGTGAGCATTTTTGTGTGATGGGCTAAGGGGCCTACTCTAACATCCTAAAATGTTCTGCTGGCCCAATTTACCAAACTGCCCCTAGAACCACCCCAGTGTCATGGGAACCCATAGGCATGTACACTAGCAGTGTGTCCAGTGGTCTGACAAACCCCAGATCTAGGTGTTTATCTCCTCACTTGTTGACTGGGTTTGGGCTAGAAATTTCTGAGGACTACTAGACCATTTCATCATCTGGACATCATCTTTGTGCTCCTCAGGAGTCTCCTGGCAAAAGATGCAGAAACCTGGGGCAACATGGTGTGTGGGGAGGTGGAGGAGGAGGAGGACGGAGACAGAGAAGAGGGAAGGAGGGGGGAGGAGGAGAAAGAGGAGGGTGACAATGGTGGGGGAGGAGGAGAAAGCAGAGAATGGTGGCTCAGTATCCGGTTAACTTTCAACAGGGAAGGTGATATGAAAATAGATCAGAAAAATTCTGTCCAGCAACACGGTGGTGGTGGTGGTGGGGTACCAGCAAGCTCCAACTGATGAGGGGTGTATATGTAAAGTCCATAATGGGGCGCGGGATCCCATTCTACAGTCATATTTCATCCCGTTCTTCACCAGGCCACCCCTAACCTTGCCCCTTATGCTCAGGAGCAGGGATAAAAGCACAAGATCCATCACCCCGCTCCAAACCAGGAGGAAATCTGGGGTTTGCCACTGGAGGAGTTTCTATGGCAACGGCACACCATCTGGGACCCTACAGCCTTCCTAAGCTGCTGGAGAGACGGCCTTCGGCAAATCTCTTCTAGAGGGTGCGACAGGCCACAGCATATATTGCTGTGAGCCCTGGTTAGGGACATTACTGACAGGAGAAAGAAAACTTGCAAAGGGGCAGAAGTGGCACTCATGTTCCAAGGCAAACGCCTGGTCCCTGTAGTTTTGGCTTGCAGAGCGGGACTACGAATCCCGGCGTGCCTAGCGGGGCGGCGGCGAGGACTACGCTTTCCAGCGGGCGCCGGGGCCGGCCGGCGTGGGGCGGGACAGGGCGGGGTTGGCCGCGGGGCGGGTGCTGCCCTTTGCCGGGCGCGGAGGGGAGTGGGCGCGGAGTGACAGCCGGAGCCCGGGCGCCGGGCGCGGGGCTCGGTGACAGCAGAGGCGGCGGCCGCGGACTGGACGCAGGGAGCGGCGGCGGGGCCGGCGGCGGCGGGAAGGGCGGACGGGGCGGGCCTCCCTGGTGGCGCGGAGCCGGAGGAGGCCAGGAGAGGGTGGCGGGCGCGGCTCGCGGGCCAAGCACCCAAACTTGGGACAAGTTGCCGGAGACGCGGGGCGCG